ATTTATCATGGAAAATCCTGTATGACTTATTACCAAGGTTTTGGGTAAATATTAAACCAAGGAGTCAGGAGGAAGTTAAAAAGGTATGGATTCTGGTTTTGCCAAGGTGGTGAAATAACCCAAATTGCAGGCTCTGTGCCTCAAAATAAACTTTGGAGACATTATAGAAGCAAAACGGCACTATGGATTCAAGAAATTAACAAGGGAAAAATATCATGGAAGACAGAAGACTGTCTGTGAACTGGTTTGCACAGGGTAGTTGGTTGGTAGTAGTCCGGGACACAAGAAAGACAGAGGCAGCAAATGAGAGAATGGGAACAGTGGACCTCCAGTATGGTCCTCAGACCAGGAGCATCAGTATCATCTGGGAATTTACTAGAATTGTAAACTATTGGCTCATCCCAGACCTACTGAATAAGAAAATCAGGGTAGGGCCCAACAACCTATGTTTAAACAAGCCTTCCCAGTGATTCTCATACGTGCTAAAGTTTGAGCAGAGAAAGGGTTTTAAAGCTTCCACTTGCCTTTTTCTTGCCTCACCTCAGACCAGCTGTGGCCCACAACCTTTGCTACAAACATTTGCCTCCACCCCAGCAGACCATAGGATCAGTGCCTTTGCCAGTGAAAGGAGTGTTATTACAGCAGTGCAAAATGTCCTGTGTGATGAGGAGTTGTGCACAGGTGTAGATCAACCAGGTGGTCTCCAGCTTTTATTTCTTCACTAAACCCCATGGGTGACAGCCTAGGAAGTAGAGTGCACTGCCCTCTGTCAATTCACCCAAGGCCTCAAAGAAACACTGCTTAGAGTAGTTGCCTAGTGATCTGTCAGCCAAAAAGTCACCAGGGATTCTGAATAGTCTCAGATACTCAATGTGGGGGCTAATCTTTGCCTCTCCAACTCACTTTACATATCCAAATCAGAGTTTAATCTGCACCATTCACCACTGACCACACAGATTAGCTGATATTCTGAGGAGAATGTGTGGCCATGGGCCACTAGAAAGAGATCTGAGCAGAGCAGAGGTGAACCCACAATTATGAGGACTGAAGATTATACCATTGCAGGACCCATTTTATGAAAAAGAAAAATAAATTACAAGTACAAAGTCAGGTGTGAAATGAATATTTGTCTAGGGTGACACAAAAAATCACAACAAAATATACATTTAAAAAAGCTGACAGATAGTCATAAACATCACTAAATGTATAAAAATATTTTTATTGATTAGCCAATTGAAATATCCCTATAAAACCATTTTCCTATTTTTTTGCCTCATTCTCTTTGATCTCCTCTTCATCTGTCAACAAATATATTATGAAAGATAATTGCAATTAAAAACAAAAGGATATTTTAGTTTTACTTGTCATATGATTGTACAACTTTAAAAAATTATTGATAGTTTAATGCATAAAACATTCACTTTGCACACTGACTTTTAAAAAATATTTAAATTGATTCCCAATGAGTATACATTATTTATGGGGTACATAGTCTCTATTGATGCATTCATACAATGTGAATCAAAGCAGGGTAGCTGCAATATTCATTATGTTAAATATTTATCATTACTTTGTGTTGGGAACATTCTAAATCTTCTCTTTGGCTGTTTTGAAATATATAATAAATTATTATTATCTGACTGTGCTATTAAACAGTATAATCTATTCCTTCTATACAAATGTATTTTTATACTCATTAACCAGCCTCTCTCCATCCCTCCCCCTACCCTCGGTCACTCTTCGCAGCCTTTAATAGCCATCATCCTACTCTCTACCTCTATGAAATCTTTTTTAGCTCCCACATATGAGTGAGAACATATGATATTTATCCTTCTGTGCCTGGCTTAGTTTACTTAACATAATTACCTCAGTTTCTCCATTTTGCTGCATACTACATGATTTTATTCTTCTTTATGGCTGAACAATGTTCCATTATATGTATATCTGCCATATTTTCTTTATTCATCTGCTGATGGACAGTTAGTTTGATTTCATTTCTTGGCTATTGTGAATAGTGCTGCAGTCAACATGCGAGAGCATCTAGCTCTTAAGTATACTGATTTCCTTTCTTTTGGATATATACTCAGCAATGGGATTGCTAGAATATACAGTAGATCTACTTTTTAGTTTTTTGAGGAAACTGCATACTGTTTTTCATAGTGGTTGTACTAATTTATAATCCCACTGCAATGTATCAGAGTTCCCCTTTCTCCACATTCTTGCCAACATCTATTTTTTTTTTGTCTTTTTTATCATAGCCATTTTAACTGGTGTGAGATAATAGCTCATTGTAATATTGATATGGACTCTCCTTATGATGAGTGATGAGCATTTTTCCATATGCCTGTTGGCCATTTGCATGTCTTCTTTTGAGGAATATCTATTTACATTTTAAAATCAGATTATATAGTGTGTGTGTGTGTGTGTATTTTGCTATTGAGTTGTTTGAATTCTTTATATATATGTACTATTAATCACTGGTCAAATGGATAGTTTGCAAGTATTTGCACATTCTGTAGGTTGTTGCTTCACTCTGTTGATTTTTTTGTTCACTCTTTAGAAACTTTTCAGCTTAATGAAATCCCATTTATCTATTTTCATATTTGTTGCCTATGCTTTTGAGGTGTTTCCTCCAAAATCTTTGTCCAAATTGGTGTCCTGAAGCATTTCCCAAATATTTTCTTCTAGTAGTTTCATAGTTTCAGGTCTTATTTTTAAGTTTTTAATCGATTTTGATTTGATTTTTGTAAATGGTAAGAGATAATGGCCTAGTTTGATTCTTCTGCATATGAATATCCAGTTTTCTCAGCACCATTTATTGAAGAGACTGTTCTATCTGCAATGTATTTTCTTTGTGTCTTTGTTGAAAATACATTTGCTGTAAATATGTGAGCTTATTTCTGGGTTATCTATCCTATTCCATTAGTCTATGTGTCTGTTTTTATGCTAGTACTATGCTGTTTTGGTTACAGTAGCTTTGTGGTATATTTTGAAGTCAGTATGATGCCTACAGCTTTGTATTTTTGTTTAGGATTGCTTGGCTATTCAGGGTCTTTTGGGGCTCTATACAAATTTTAGGATTTTTTCCCTCACTTCTGTGAAGAATGTTACTAGTATTGTAATAGGGAATGTATTAATATGCAGATTTCTTTGGGTAGTATGGACATTTTAGCAATATTAATTCTTTAAGTCCATGAGCATATAGTTCCTTTTTTGTATACTCTTCAATTTCTTTCATCCATGTTTTATAGTTTTCATTGTAGAGATCTTTCACTTCTTTGGTCAAATTCATTCCTAGGTTTCTTTTGTTGTGTTCCTATTATAAGTGTGGTTGCTTTCTTGATTTTTTTTTTCAGATTTTTCATTGTTGATATATAAAAATGCCACAGAATTTAGTATGTTGATATTACATCCTGGAACTTTACTGAATTTATTTATGAGTTCTAATAATTTTTTGGTGTCCTACTTAGGTTTTTCCAAATACAAAGTCATGCTTTTGTGAACAAGAATAATTTGACTTCATCCTTTTCAATTTGGATATGCTCTTTTTTTTTTTTTTCTCTTGCCTAATTGCTCTGACTAGTGCTTCCAGTACTATTTTGAATGAAAGTGGTGAAAGTGGGGCATCCTTGTCTTGTTTCAGATTTTAGAGAAAAGGCTTTTATTTTTTTTCCCATTCAGTGTGACATTAGCAGTGAGTTTGTCGTACGCAGACTTTATTGTTTTGAGATACATTCTCTCTATGTCCAGTTTGTTGAGAGCTTTTATTAAGGATACTAAATTTATTGAATACCTTTTAGCATCTACTGAAATGATCAGATCACTTTTTCTTTAATTTTGTTAGTGAGATGTATCTCATTGATTGAATTGTATATGTTGAACCATCCTTGCATCCCTGGGATGAATTCATTTGATCATGGTGAATGGTCTTTTTAATGTATTGTTGATTTCAGTTTGCTAATATTTGGTTGATGTTTGCATCTGTGTTCATTAGGGACATTGGTCTGTAGTTTTTGTTGTTGTTGTTGTGTCCTTGTCTGGTTTTGGTACCAGGGTAATGCTTGCCTGGTTGAATGAGGTTGGAAGTATTCTCTTCTTCAAGTTTTTGAAAAAGTTTGAATAGAATTGGTATTAGTTCTCTAAATGTTTGGTAGAATTCAGCAGTGGAATGGTCAGATTGTGGGCTTTTCTTTGATGGAAGCCTTTTTATTACTGTTTCAGTCTTAATACTTGCAATTTTGTTCAGGTATTTCTTCATGATTCAACCTTGGTAGGTTGTATGTGTCCAGGAATTTAGGTTTCTTCTAGGTTTTCCGCTTTGTTGTCATGCAGTTACTCATAATTATTCCTAATGATCATTTGTATTTTTGTGGTATTGGCTGTGGAGTCTCCTTTTTTTTTTTTGTCTCTAATTTTATTTGAGACTTTTTTTGTGTGTACCTAAACGTTTGTGGACTTTATCTTGTTAAAAAAAAAAACTTTTCATTTTGTTGCTCTTTTGTGCTTTTTTGTCTCAATTTTATTTATTTCCATTCTTATCTACAAATTTTGGGTTTGTTTTTTTCTTGCTTTTCTAGACCTTTGAGGTACATCATTAGATTATTTGAAGTATTTCTTCTTTTTTGGTGTAGGTATTTACCACTCTAAAGTTTCCTTTTAGAAATGCTTTTGCTGTATCTCATAGGTTTTGGTATATTGTTTTCATTTTCATTTATGAAATTTCCTCATTGATCCATTCATTATTCAGGAGCATGTTGTCAAATTTTCACAGATTTGTACAGTTTTCAATATGTCTTCTATTACTGATTTCTGGTTTTATTCCATGTGGTTGGAGAAGACACTTGACATATTTTGATTTTAAAAAATTCCTTAAGCCTTGCTTTGTCACCTAACATACAGTCTATCCTGGAGAATCTTCCAGGTACTGTTGAGGAAAATCTGCATTCTGCAGGAGTTAGGTGAAACAGTCTGTAAATATCTGTTAAGGCTAGTTGGTCTAGAGTGCAGTTTAACTCTCATGTTTTTTGTTGCTTTTCCGTCTAGATAATCTGTCCATTGCTGAAAGTGGAGTGTTGAACTCCCCTACTGTTACTGTGTTCCAGTCAGTATCTCCCTCTAGGTCTATTAGTTTTTTAAAAAATATATATTTGGGTGCTCTGATGTTGTATTCGTATATTTTTACATTTGTTATATCCTCTTGCTATATTGACCCCTTTATCATATAATGACCTTGTCTTTTTTTCTTTGCTTTATTTCTACAAGAAAGAGCTTTTTGTTTTGTTTTGTTTTGTTTTTTAACTGTTGTTGCCTTAAAGGTCTATTTTATCTAATGTAAGTATAGCTACTCCTATTCTTTTCTGGTTTCCACTTGCATGGTATATCATTTTCCATCTCTTTCATTTTGTCTATTTCTCTATAGGCGAAGTGATTTTCTTACACACAGAGTATAGTTGGGTCTTTAAAAAAAATCTATTCATTGTTCAACCCCCATTTATGAGCCAGAACGTGTGGTGTTTGGTTTTCTGTTCTTGTGTTAGTTTACTGAGAATGATGGTTTTCAGCTTCATCCATGTCCCTGCAAAGGACATAAACTCATCCTTTTTTATGGCTACATAGTATTTCCATGGTGTATTTGTGCCACATTTTTTAAATCTAGTCTATCATTGATGGGCATTTGGGTTGGTTCCAAGTCTTTGCTATTGTGAACAGTGCCACAGTAAACATACGTCTTTATAGTAGAATGAGTTATAATCCCATTACTTTGGGTATATACCCAGTAATGGGATTGCTGGGCCTAATGGTATTTCTAGTTCTAGATCCTTGAGGAATCACCACACTGTCTTCCACAATGGTTGAGCTAATTTATACTCCCACCAATAGTGTAAAAGTGTTTCTATTTCTCCACATCCTTCTCCAGCATTTGTTACTTCCTGATTTTAATGACTGCCATTCTAAATGGCATAAGATGGTATCTCATTGTGGTTTTGATTTGCATTTCTCTAATGACCAGTGAAGATGATCTTTTTTTTTTTTTTTATGTTTGTTGGCTGCATAAATGTCTTCTTTTGAGAAGTATCTGTTCATATCCTTTGCTCATTCTTTGATGGGATTGTTCTTTTCCTGTAAATTTGTTTAAGTTTTTTGCAGATTCTGGATATTAGCCCTTTGTCAGATGGATAGATTGCAAAACTTTTCTCCCATTCTATAGGTTGCCTGTTTTCTCTCACAAGGAGGGGAACATCATACACTGGGGCCTGTTGGGGGGTGGTGGGCTAGGGGTGGGATAGCGTTAGGATAAATACATAATGTAAATGATGGGTTGATGAATGCAGCAAACCACCGTGACACATGTATATCTATGTAGCAAACCTGCATGTTCTGCACAGGTATCCCAGAATTTAAAGTGTATATATATACATATATATATATATATAGGAATTATTCATCCACTCTATGTCTTTTAATTGAATAATTTAATCCAGTTACAATCAAGCTTATTATTGATAGGTAAGTGTTTACTACTACTGCTTTGTTGCTTGTTTTTTGATTATTTTACAAATCATTTCTTTTTTCCTGTTTTACTGTCTCCCTGTGTGGTTAAGTGATTTCCACTAGTAGTATGTTTTGACTTGGTGCTATTTATTGTTAGTGTACTTATGATAGGTTTTTGCTTTGTGGTTTCCATAAGGCTTACAAAAAAGCTTATAGTTAAAATAGGTTATTTGAAAGTAATAATGACTTAACCTCAATCATATTGAAATGAAACTCTATTCTTTAACATTATCCCCCCACCACCTTTTTACTTTTTGATGGTTCAGTTTACATCTTTTTATCCTGCCTATCTTTTAACCATTTGTTGTATTGTCATTTTTAATAGTTATATTTTTTAGTCTTCAGAGTTAAGATATAAGTGGTTTACTTACCACAGTTACTATATTAAAGTATTCTAAATTTGCTTTCTTATTTTTACTAGTGAGCTTTATACCTTCATGTGTTTTCTTGTTGGACATTAGTGTCTATTTCTTTTGGATGAAAGACAGGTCTGACTTTAGCATTTGTTGAAAGACAGGTCTGTGTTAGTGAATTCCTTCAGCTTTTGTTTGCCTAGGAAAGTCTTTATCTCTTCCTCACGTTTGAAGGATACTTTTGCTGGATTCAGTATGGTTGTTTGGCAGTTTTTTTTCTTTAGCACTTTAAATATAGCATTCTACTCTCTCCTGGCCTGCTGCATTTCTGCTTATAAATCCACCAAAAGCCATACTGGGGCTTCATTTCATGTGATATGTTTATTTCTTCTTCCTGCTATGAGTATTCTTTCTTTCCTTTTGATTTTTGCTATATTGATTAAAATGTACTTTAGGGAATTACTTTTTGGGTTAAATTTGAGTGGTGACATCTTGGTTTTCTGTGCCTAGATGCTGTCATTTTTTTCCAGATTTGGGAATTTTTTAATCATTATTATTATTTTTGAGCAGGTAAATTTTTTTTTTAAATTTATTTTATTGCATTTTAGGTTATGGGGTACATGTGAAGAACATGCAAGATTGTTGCATAGGCACACACATGGCAGTGTGATCTGCTGCCTTCCTCCACATCACCCACATCTAGGACTTCTCCCCATGCTTTCTCTCCCCAACTCCCCTCCCCCGGCTGTCCCTCCCCTATTTCCCCCTAACAGACCCCAGTGTGTAGTGCTCCCCTCCCTGTGTCCATGTGTTCTCATTGTTCAACACCTGCCTATGAGTGAGAACATGCGGTGTTTGATTTTCTGCTCTTGTGTCAGTTTACTGAGAATGATGGTTTCCAGGTTCACCCATGTCCCTACAAAGGACACGAACTGATCGTTTTTTATGGCTGCATAATATTCCATGGTGTTTATGTGTCACATTTTTCCTGTCCAGTCTATCATCGATGGGAATTTGTGTTGGTTCCAGGTCTTTGCTATTGTAAACAGTGATGCAGTGAACATTTGTGTTCATGTGTCCTTATAGTAGAATGATTTATAATCCTTTGGGTATATGCCCAGTAATGGGATTGCTGGGTCAAATGGAATTTCTATTTCTATGTCCTTAAGGAATCGCCACACTGTCTTCCACAGTGGTTGAACTAATTTACACTCCCACCAACAGTGTAAAATTGTTCCTATTTCTCCACATCCTCTCCAGCATCTGTTGTCTCCAGATTTTTTAATGATCGCCATTCTAACTGGCATGAGATGGTATCTCAATGTTGTTTTGATTTGCATTTCCCTAATGACCAGTGATGATGAGCATTTTTTCATATGTTCGTTGGCCTCATGTATGTCTTCTTTTGTAAAGTATCTGTTCATATCCTTTGCCCACTTTTGAATGGGCTTGTTAGTTTTTTTCCTGTAAATCTGTTTTAGTTCTTTATAAATTCTGGATATCAGCCCTTTGTCAGATGGATAAAAATCACAAGCATTCCTATATACAAATAACAGAGTTAAAGAGAGCCAAATCAAGAGTTAACTGCCATTCACAATTGCCACAAAGAGAATAAAATACCTGGGAATACAACTTAACAAGGAACGTAAAGGATCTCTTCAAGGAGAACTACAAGCCACTGCTCAATGAAATAAGAGAGGACACAAACAGATAAAGAAACATTCCATGTTCATGATTAGGAAGAATCAATATCGTGAAAATGGCCATAGTGCCCAAAGTAATTTACAGATTCAACGCTATCCCCATCAAGCTACCAATGACCTTCTTCACAGAACTGGAAAAAACCACCTTAAACTTTATATGGAACCAAAAGAGAGCCTGCATAGCCAAGTCAATTCTAAGCAAAAAGAACAAAGCAGAGGCATCACACTACCGGACTTCAAACTATACTACAAGTCTACAGTAATCAAAACAGCATGGTACTGGTACCAAAACAGAGATATAGACCAATGGAACAGAACAGAGGCCTCGGAGGCAACACAACATATCTACAACCATCTGATCTTTGACAAACCTCATAAAAACAAGCAATGGGGAAAGGATTCCCTGTTTAATAAATGGTGTTGTGAAAACTGGCTAGCCATGTGCAGAAAGCAGAAACTGGACCCCTTCCTGACACCTTACACTAAAATTAACTCCAGATGGATTAAAGACTTAAACATAAGACCTAACACCATAAAAACCCTAGAAGAAAACCTAGGCAAAACCATTCAGGACATAGGCGTAGGCGAGGACTTCATGACCAAAACACCAAAAGCATTGGCAACAAAAGCCAAAATAGACAAATGGGACCTAATCAAACTCCACAGCTTCTGCATGACCAGGTAAATATTTAATGAGGTATTAAGCATGTAACAGTTGAAGTAACAATTTGCATAGACATATGAACAATTTTAAACAACCGTTTAATATTCCAGTTGTATTTTTGGCACACATGATTTGTCTGTTCAGTGTCTCACTGCATTTCACTGTCAGCTAAATGACTTTTTTTTGTGAAATTTAAGAAACATTTACTGGTAGAGATCTCTTTCAAGTTTATAGTTACAGATGAACTCGTCGTGAACAGCATTCTACAGGATATTATCTTTCACTAAGATTTCAACCTGCAAATAAACCCACTTGAAAAAAAAAAGGATAGGCCGGGTGTGGTGGCTCACGCCTGCAATCCCAGCAGCTTGGGAGGCCTAGGCAGGCAGATCATGAAGTCAGGAGTTCCAGACCAGCCTAGCCAACATAGTGAAACCCCGTTATCTACTAAAAATACAAAAAATTAGCCAGTCATGGTGTCGGGCACCTGTAATCCTAGCAACTTGGGAGGCTGAGGCAGGAGAATCCATTGAACTTGGGAGGCAGAGGTTGCAGCAAGCTGAGATCATGCCACTGCACTCCAGACCCGGTGACAGAGAGAGAAACCATCTCAAAAAAAAAAAAAAAAGATAAATGATCTTCCTGTGGTTACCACCAAGCTTAGATATTATACAGCTGGTCTATAGAGATTAGTTGATTCTACCCTTTCTGAATGAGACTTTAAAGAATGACTCACACTGTATTTTTTTTTTTTTAATACAAGTGTAGATAGCTTTTAATTTTTTTTTTTTTTTAATGCTCAGGGCCAGTA